CACATATAAGTATTCTAGAGAAGAAACAAAAAAACACACCAGAGGTTAGTGGTAGTGTATATACATATGTACTCACTCCTATCCTAATATAGGCATCTTTTAAAAGAAACTTTTGGTGTATAATTTAAGTCATTTGGCAGGTTATTAATGAACCTTTTCCAAAATATTACCCCTATTACAATTTAATAGGTGAAGACTTGAGGGCTAATGTGGTATTTCACATGCTCTTAAATACAGGCAAAATTGGAAAAATATTTTATTTTTAGATAAAGTTAATGAATTAATTACCCCTCTTAATTTTGATGATATAATTAAAAGTGACTTATAAGTATAAATAAAAAGGAGTATGCTGAGAATATAACTCAATAATACTAGTGTGAGAATTATTGCTATAAGACAAAGGAATCAACCTCTTACCAGTACTTAGTGAACATCAAGAAGGCAACGAAGATGACGCCCATGACTGTGGTCTCCCATCTTATCTATATATCTCAACATAATACATTATTTTAAAAAGCGTCTTAATTAGCTCAATTAATTTGTTTCCTAACAAGAACAATAAAAATTAATAATATAGGATGGGAGCAGGGATATATTAGGAACCTCATGTCTATTGGCGACGATGGCCTTGAGCACAGAGATAAGGCTGGTGTGACTAGAGAAATGTTTCATACCAAATATGCCCTTCAGCTGTTGCAGACACAGAATTACCGCTGTGCCCCCCATGAAGCCTGTTATGGTCGAATGCGATAAGAAATCCACCAATATCCCTAACCTGTAATTACCCAACATTATTATTATTTTAACTAAATAAAACGAAATGAGGACTTCTCTAGATCTCCAGTAAGTCCAAGTGATGAGAGATGAAAATATAAGTTTACTGGGAGTGGCAAAAACGATTAAATTTCTACAAATGCACAGTGATCCGTGCTCATTTGAAAAAAGGGATACTAATCTTAATCCCGATCATCCATATTTATTTTAGATCATATAAATTCCATTTAATTTTTATATTTTAAATAATTTTTGAAAAAATTTAGATACATAATTTCAAATAAAATTATTCTTATAACTAATAAATTTATTATAAAAAATTGTAACTAAAAAAATCTAAATTCTAGACCATGAAATTTTGATTATGGCAATCCTGTGATGAAAATTAATTGAGGACTCATCTCTCACTATACTTGTCATTTATTAAGATCATTCATTGCATCTGATGCCAAATAAAAGATCGCATCAAGTAGTTTATATAGAATATAGATATATAAACGATTACCATGCATGCACAGAGAAAAAGGATGAAGATATTTAATTCGTATGAAGTATTTAAATTTATATCATATTTGTTACAAAAAAAATTAAATCATATTTATTTACTTGCTTGGTTCGAGTTTTGGACGAACTTATATTAGAATTTGAATAGTGAAAATAAAAAACTGTTTAATAAAACTTGTTTTTATGTCAATTTCAAATTCATAAACTTGTCAATATGTTATATTAGATCCTGGATATCTAGTTTCTGCAATATCTTGCATCCGAGGATAACTGCTAACTTCGAACAAAGTGATGATAATTTCATATATACACACACACACATATATATAATCATCATGCATAATTTATAAAAATACGTGGTGTTCATACCATGTTGATTCTCACCTGAGAATACCTAAAGCAGCCTGAAATGCTCCGGTGATGAAGGTGGTGGTGAAAATCAAATGCACATACAGAACAGGGTCGTTCTCCGGCATCGCCACGCTCGACACCGTTTGGTATAACAGTAAGGACGCCGCCGCTATCGTCCCCACCGCCATCTGCCTCGAACTTCCGAATATCGCATACACCAGTGGAGGAACAAAACTACTATCTGCAGACACAAACATTCTCAATTATTCACCTAGAAAGCAACAAGGAGAATATCGGCGATCAGAAAACGGAACTTACAGAGGCCAATGATGGGATTATTCACCTAAGAAAGCAAGAAGAAGAAGATCGGAGATCGGAAAACGGAACTTACAGAGGCCAATGATGGGAGGAATTTCGGCGAGTTTAGCGTAACTAATGCCTTGAGGGATGGCGAGGCTGGTGATGGTGAGGCCGGCGACGAGGTCCGACCAGAACAACCGGAGATTGTAAGTGGAAAGCCATTCGAACATTGGGACGAAGTACTGTACTCCTTTCACAATTCTATCTCTCCTCGTCTCTCCGTTCTTGAACTGCCTGAAAGGGTCGTCTGGGAACAGCGTTTCTTTCATTGCCGACTTCAGTTTCGTTGCAAACCCCCTCGGCGCCGCGAAGTTCACCGAGTGTCGACCATCGATTTCGGTAATGGAGGCGCCGCCGTTGGGGCTCATGGAAATGCTACTGATCGGACTCATGACGTCGCCGGCCAGAAGAGCTAGCTCACAGGCGAAGAGAAACTTGACAAAAACACTGACTTGATAAATTAAAACATCGCTGCATTGAGAACTGGATTTTGTCTGCGGCCAACCTGGCGTTTATATAGCCACTTTAATGAACTGTTTAAAAAGAAAAAAGAAAAGAAAAGAAATCACGAAGAACTAATTATTTGGCTAAAAATGTAAATCTACCTATAAAATATAATTTGAGGATGCGCACCTAATATGATAATGTTCACTGGGATATAAAATACGAACAAAAATTTTAAAAGAGTCAAAAATAGAATAACCATTAAGTAAGCAATTGTCCGTGAATTTTTAAAACATAAACGGATGTAAGGCCATCATTAAAAAGTAACTGATGTCGTAATTGTTTTATGCCATTTGAAAATTTTCAAGGACACTTATGTAAATATTTCATAAATAAATTTATGCCTTAATCTTTTAGTTAAATAATTTTTATATTCGCGTTTCACTTACATTTCATCGGGAAAAGAAAAACTTTTGTTATTTGTTTTGGTTAAATTCTGAAGCATTGACTTTATTTACATTTTGTCCAGATGTCCACTCTCATCGTCTGTGCTAATCTTAAGGAAGTTTCAAGTTGGTAATTTTATTATTAAATTAAAAAATAAAAGCTAATAACACAAGTTATTCAAATGAAAATTTGAGATTTTCTCAAACTAACTAGGAGTTGGTGAATGGGGGAATGGTAAATAGGATTTGTTTTGCAGTATTGTCCTCGTTGCTTACACTGTATTTGGATGCGTAGTTAAATGCAAAAGCGAACGCCCGCCGCCAATGAGCCAAGCACGTCTTAGTTCAACATGAGAGGAGACTAGTCAACAAGTATCAATAATTCAATATCAACACACAACATAGGATGTCTAAATATATGAAAAAAAAATCATTTTATTTATTACTTATAAAATCATGTAATTTAGTTTAAAATTTATTAAAGATGCATAAAAATTTTAGTTAATTATTATTAATATTATTTATTGATCAAAACTTGATTAGTAAGATTATTTGCTGTTCGTCTTTTTAAAATTAAAACCTAATTTAATGCATCAAATTTTCTAGTCTAAATATATATGTTTAGAGGTTTATCTGGGGCCTTTGTTGACACCACAATTTTTTTCGATTATGATAAAATGTAGACTTTAAATATGTTGAAGGTTGTGAGTTAAAATAACTGAAAGTTATGAGACAACTGAATACGAGTTGCTAATGGATACATAATGATTCAGTTTTATCTAACATATACAATTTATTTTCATTCAATAAAAATTTGAGAGGTTAAAACGAGATTTTTTTACTAATTAATTTAAAGAGAATAATTAATAAACTTTTCGACATTTGTTTAATTCCAAAAGTGTAATTTTTTAATTTTTTTTGTTTTTCTTTTTGGAGCCAACCAGCATTGGCCGACTGCAGCCTTTTGGTCTGCAAAGTTCAACACAGATACGCATCTTTCACTTGCCCTTTGATTCTTGAACACGTCACAGCCTACCTCTTTGAAATCGGACTGGTTTGGTATCTAAAAATTAAAATAAATATAAAAATTACATTTTTATATGAAATGATTTTTATAGAATAATAAAAGCGTACTAAATATTCTATATTTTAAATGCAACACATTTTAATCTGTGTGAAACGAAATGAATTTTATCACCAAGATGGTTCCTTCCTTAACTGGTCTTTCCATGTATTTCATTTCAATAAAAATGTTAGTTTCATTAGAATAAATTAGGATTTTACTTGCAGTACCGTCTTAAGTGCATGTCATTTATATAATAAAAATTTATAAGATACCCCTCTTTTTATAAATTATTCACAACGGTCTGCTTTCTTTAATTTTTTTTATAAAATATGAATCTATAAAATTAAAAAACATAAAAAATTTGATTATTCATAATTTAAATTTATCATTTGTCTTTTATCATAAAAAGACTCTAAAGTTTGAAACTATCGATTGAAATTTTATTTTTATTTTTTTATATCCTATTCTACTTATACCATACTTTGTGTAGAAATCATCAAGTGATCTGTATATATATAAATATATATTTATTGTATATTAAACAAAACTTAAAGACATGATAAATATGAATTGAAAGTGATTAATATATGAACTATATTGCAAAATCAGGATTTATCAAAATCATTGTAGTATGTGAGTAAATTTCAGTTTAGATTAATTATATTTTCGGACTTGTAATATTGAGTAATGATTAATTCTGATTTAAATCACACCAACTTCAGTGGGGGGAAAAAACTTCAAATTTTTCATCCCAAAACTTGCATTCGAGACTTTATTTGAAAAATTTATTGAATTGTTTTCCCACAGACTTATTGGTTATTGGATTACTGGAGTTCTGGTTTTTTTTTCTCTTTGGAGGCAAATTGCAATTACAAAATTCCAAAATGTTGTCCAAAACATTATGCAATTCGAAAATACTAATGAATAAGATTAAGTCCACCGACCCTATGACTATTAAATCCACTACTATGAAATCTCAAGTTTTCAAGCCAAGCACTAATTAAAAAAACGAAGAAGTTTTGAATTATTTCTTATGCGTATGAAGGTGTTAGCGATGATGCGGATTTGATCATATCCTTATTTAGTCATAGTTATCCTAGAAAAATCAATACATTTACTATACCTCTACTTATATACACATATCTAAAAATTCTTAAAGTTATATATATCTCAAAGGATAATACTTATATTAAATTTTTTATATTTATTACATCAACTTCTTATCATCGTCCTACTTTTAAAATATTTTCATTTAACTATAAACTAATATATGAAAAATTGGACAGATGGCTACGTGTGATTAGAGAGTTTGATATAATAAATATAATAAACATAACGTGAGTATGTTCCTATCTTATAAGTTAGGAGAGAAATTCATAAAGGTTGGCTCCAAAGTTGGTATCCAAATAAGTAACATACAACTTTTTTACTATTATACCAACCACACTTTTGAAATATTCTTAGTTGTGTGAAGGCGTAATTAGACATGGAATGAGGGGGATCTGATCACATTCTTATCTAACTAAAATCTCAGTTAATCAACATATTGTAAATTAAAGACGTGAACATATATAGATAAATTTAACAATACATTGTTGGCAATTTAATACTGGTATTTTTTATTATAAAAATGGTTATGATAGATTATGAATCTTTAACCATTAATTAATGCATAAATATTTAAAATCGTTCGTACTTGGGTTTGAATTGAGTCACCGTCAAGGGAAAGGGATTAAATTTCAATATGTACGGGCAATTCGATTTTCAGAAATATGATACGATCAATTAATTAAATTGTTAATAATTAATATGTTCAATTAATTAATCGTATTATATTTACAGTCAACACATCACAAACTTATTTACTTGTAATTGTAATATAATCATCCTTAACCATCAGGAAGAGAATCTATAGTTATTGCTGAGTTTGATATGGAAACCGCATGCATGCATGCAAGAACTAATATAAATTATTATTCGTTGTATAATAATTTGCGACTCTTGAGAATTCATATGAGCTCTTAAGTATAATAATTGCTTACTGTTTTTATTCCTTAATATAAGGTTTAATTGACTAATTTTGAAGATATCAAAAAAGTTACTGAATTATTTAATTATAGTATTTGTTACATGATCTTTCTAAAATACTTTTATGTATTATTAGATTATATATCAATTTACAAGTGAAACAAACTAGTTGAGAGAAAAATCATAAATATAAATATTTTAAAATAATTAGAAACTTTCTTGATCTCTTCAATTAGCTAACTAAGTCTTATATTATAAGAATTGGGGTATTATTGTCATATAAATTAATCAACAAATTAACCATTAGACGAATCCAATATATATATAAAGATAAACTTAGCAATAATTAATTAATGAAATGCGCAATATGGGGTATTATATTGACAATTTCTAGTGACTTTGATTACATTAATGTGAAGAAAACAGTGACAATGTATGCCTTATGCATGACCTTTCGCTCTTCTATGAGATAACATTAGAATTACTTGTCTAAGCAAAGTTCTTTTTTTTTTTTTAAGGTAATACTAAGCAAAGTTCTATTTACTTGGACATGATGATGTGATTATTGTTAAAATAATCAATAATATTCAATCACATTTTGATTGTATTTTCTACTTTCAATTATATATCTTATTTTTATGTTTATATATGTTATAGACTTATATTTCACAAATCATGAACAATGTAAAATAACTCCATGCAGTTTTATCTACTTATATCTAAATAGTACATATAATTCCTAGGATTTGGAACCTTTACTTGCATGAGCAGCTTACTATATAAAAGCCCATGCTACGTCTAGTTCTTAATATAAAAAGTTATTTAGATAATTAATTTGCAGATATTAAAAAAATTAGTTAATTTCTATAGTTATTCCAAATGTGTATAGGTTTTTTTATACTATCCGGCCATGTGTAATGGAACTACGTATCTCTCATTGGAAGTCTTTTTAATCAATTAAAAGAAATATGTAAAATATATATATATAAATTTTAAAAGTAAAACGGATAGAGATTTTGTGCTTAGAATCAAAATAGATTTTTTGTCTGGATTCTATATCTAGGACTAGAAGTATTATAATGAATTAAGCATCATTGAGATGTTTATGAAAGAGTAAAGCACTCTTGATTTGACATTATGCCTTAAACTTATCATTTGAAATTGCCTTAAACTTAAAACTGAAAATAATTTTTATGGGAAAAGTGTTAATGCTTGCAGCTGCGCTACACACACACACACATTAATTTGAACTCTCATGTAAGCGCATTATTGTGGAAGTTTTTTTTGCTTTGTTTGTTATTTTCAAGGCCATGAAAAGGTAAAGATGGTGAAAGTTATGGAGCGTCTGAAATCCTTGGTTAGTTAGTTTATTACTTCCGTCCTTATTATAAGAGACATTGATGCTTAG